AGTTCAAAAACTTTCCTGTTCAACCCTACAGCAGGGGTGGAAAAGGTGCATTAGTCTCTGTTTGAGCCTTCGTCCTCCTTACCATGGAGCAGCGTGTGCAGAGCAGATTCACGGTGCAGAACCCACCCCCTGTCAGCCCATCTGTGATCAGATGGAGCTTGCTTTCGACCTTCCTTTTAATTTGTTCGGTCCGACATATATTTGACTTGGAATTTCTGTGTCAAACTGCTCCTGAACCCGAGCAGATTACATGTGCAGTCTGCGTGTATTTAATGTGTGCAGGCTGTATGCATGCTTTAGGGGGATTTGTTGGGGCGCAGTACATCCATGTGCTAATTTGTGAATAGAGAAACGCAGTCAGATAATTCCTTTGATGGAACCATAGAGGTAAAAGGGGTATTCTTATGATTTGCAGACCTAAATAGCAGTCTGCCTCAGGAGATGATCTATATGAGGAGATATAGGTTCTGTTCTATAGACAAGTGCATTTTTCTCCTTCCTTTGTTCTTTGTTATCACTGTAAATAGATTGTAAATTACAACAGTAATTTTCATGGTGATGGTAATATTGGTTAAATCAGTCTGTGAATGAAGTTGTCTTGCATTCTTGTTCTCTAGCAGTAGTACTGCAGTATATATCCTGCCCATTACACCCATGTCTGGTTTGGGTAGACATCATTTCTTCATTTCTCTGTGGAGCTTTAAAAAGATGGGTGGGGCGGGAGGGAGGTAGAGGGAGAGAGAGAGATGTACATATGATTGCAGTACAGCATGGCCAGTCCCTGGTGTGACGCTGCTGTTTTGCTAGATTGGCTTCTAACATCAAAGATAGCTTTGATGCTCTCTTACCATTTTTAATACAGAAATTAAGCACAGGTTAAGTGTCATCTTTTCCAGGTGTCACCTTTACATTTCCTCCAACCTCTGCAAACCTATTCCTATGCTTGTTGGGTCTAATTTGATATTAAACAATACTGACTGCACTGTCTTCATGTTAAAAGAGTCTTAGTTGGAGGTGTCTTCATTTCATTTCTCTATATTGAACAGAGCACAGCCTTCCCTGGTCCCTCCTCTGAAATGTCACTGCTTTTTTGCAGTCCCTGGAGGTGAAGAGCATCCGTCTTTGGATGTGGGAGTTAGATACGGGCAGATTACCAAAACGAGCCTTTTCTCTCTCCTCCACGTAAGCAGCTTGTCCCTGGGCTCTCCACGACACAGCGCCCGAGCTGCAGCTGCTTCGTCCCCAGAGACTTGGTGCTTGTAGCAATGCCTCCGCTGTGAGGAATAAATGAAATATGCCAGTAGTCCATGCTCACGGCTCTAGGGCAAAAAATAAAGGGGAGAGGGCATTTTTTGGGTCAGGGAGTACTCGGGCAACACCTAGGCTGGGCGGCAGCACTGTGTGTGCTCCCAGGTACCAGGCGGCTCAGGGCTCGTCCTCCCAAGGCAGGGACTAGCCAAGAGGGCTTCGTCTCCTCTGGCATCCGCTCCACAGGGACACGGGCGATAGTGATTTAGCTGAAACGCCCACGAGTAAGGGCTAGAAACAAGCAGGCATTTGCCCTCGTGAGCACAGCTTTCCTTGCTGCTTCAGCAGCACCAGGGCTGAGGTGTGAATAAGGCAGCAGCGGACGGCAGGGCCAGGAGAGACACCCGCATGGGATTTCGGCAACCCAAGGGAGGACTGGTGGTGTGGCCACTGTGGAGGACTTTTACCCCGCTTACAATCACTTCGAGTGACCAAAGGGAGAGGAGAAGTAATTTAAAATGCAATCCCTACTGATGAGGGGGGAGGGAATGGTTATTGTAATACTGAAGCATTATTTTGGGAAAATTCTATGTGGCCCAGTAAAGAAAAGGCTTTAAAAAAAAGCTGCTTAATCCTGCTTATCTGCTGTTACATCTTCACAAAATCTCCTGGAGAGATTCAGAGCAGCATCTAAATGCAGAGACCTCACCCAGCGCCCGAGCAGCTCCCTCTTCCTTGGCTTAGAGGTTGGGGAAGAGAGAGCGTGCAGCTCTCTGCGTGTGTAATTGCTCCAGCTAATGAGCAGCAGTCTTTTTTTCATAAAGAGCCAATGATCTTTATGTTTGCATGCTGAAAATGTTCAAATAGTTCTGATTAATAATCTGGAGAATGATCTGTGCCTTGTCCCAGATGGGGTACAGGGCTGGAATTAACTGAAAACGCTTTAATGATGGTGCATTACTTGTAATTATTCTGTGGCTTCTATTCTATTTTCACCTTCAGTGAGACGTGTTCCCTCAAAGGACACTTACAGCAATTCTTAAATCTTCCAGTAACTGCAGAAATGCAGGTGGAGAAGGATCAAAGCTTTGTCTAGAATGCAGAAAATACCGTATAAATTGGAGCAGAAGAATGTGATATGGATAATAGTTGATCTATAACTTAACTTTCCAATGTATTATTGGCATTCTATTCTGTGAAATGTAAGCGTTGTACTAACTTGCAATAAATGGAAGGTTTCCAGAGCCAGGTAGCGAAAGTCACTTTTATGTCTGCTATCCTCTTTTCGAGGAGGCATTTCTTCTGCTGCATTTTTACTTGTTGAGATTATTAAAATGTAGGTTTTTATTTCCCCCCTCTCAGTCATCTAATGAGGCATTGGGTGTTGCTTCTGAAAAAAAAACGTGGTGACTTATTAAACTCATGGGCTGTGTATTTTTAAAACTTCTGAGGAGGTGCAAAGACACTTATGTCAGTAATGTATTCCTCTGAGAAGGTATCAGCGTTTGCTGTGCAGACACCTATTGGGCTGTTTTGTTTAGTTACTAGAGACTTGAGGCTGTGTTGCTTTAAAAATAAATTTCTTGTCATATGGGATGGCAAGGTGCTGAATCGTAATTATATGCAGACCCAGATGTTTATTTCTTCCTTTGCACTTGTTTTCTTGATGTTATTTGGAAGGTAGGAAGGGACTTCGATTCTGACCATAACAACTGTAGTTCCTGTGACTCTTTTTTTGGTTCTTTTTACCTGTGCATTTAGCCAAAATTTGGTCTTTAGTCACCTCACTGGAGGAATTGGTGGAGATAGTTAGGTATATATATGCAAAGTCTTTCTCTCTGGAAACAGGAGGGTTTGGTTACCAGGGGTCATGTTCCTACACTTCTCTTGGGTCAGGTTCCCCTCCCTGTGCATCCCTGATGGCTTGCTGGACATGTCAGGACCCAAGTCCAGCTCTGTGCAAGGGTTTCCTCCTCCAGGCATGCATCTGCCTGCGTGTCGCCAGCTGAAACTGCTTCCCCAAACAGTTCAGATCCCAGTTCCTATGTGCTCCTGTTTGGGGTGCACACAGAAATAGATGGATTTGGGATATGGAGACTGCTGTCCTCGCCAATACCACCTGTGTGGAGGGTCTCACCAAGCACACACTTCTGTCTTTGATGTGGGCATCTCTGGGTTTTCCTCTGTATAGATCTACTAAAGACAGAGAACCCAGATCCCCAGGGGCTCTGCCTGTTGATTACAGCTCCTGTAGAAAAAGCCTTCTCACAGCAGTTGTTCTGGCGTGGTGCCCAGCATGGACACTTCAGTCTGGAGGGGCCAGGATGGAGACAGGTTTGGAGAGTCCCTTTGACTTAAGTACTGGGGTTGGGAGTGTGGGGTGTTGTTTTCTTGGTGGATTTTTTTTTGTCTTTTTCTTTCTTTTTTTCATTCTAGATTTAGGTTATCCCTTCAAATTCTGCCAGGCAGTTTCCTCCCATAGGTTGAACCTTATTCATACATCCCACCAGGCACCGGAGCTGGAGTGCTGCCCTGGGCAGGCTTTGTGTTCTGCTTTGCCTTGGGTTTGCTCTTCAACTTCTGAGTGCAGGAGAGGGGCAGAACAGATGACTTCATGAAGCGACTGACAGGCTGTACACTTAAAGGCTTTTTTTTTTACTGTACTTGAAAGGTATTTTTAATTTTAACAAACACAACCACAGTAATTAAGTAATATCATTCTGAAGATGTAGCCTTCATGTGCATTAAGATACTTATTTTTAATGCTTGATAGGTTGCTTTATACAGTGTTATTTCAGCTTTCTTTTATAAATAATGTATTAACTTATTTATTCTCTGCACCAGTTGAGCATTTTTGTTTTCAAGGATTTGACAGAAGGCTGTGGTATTATTAGAAACCCTACAATCAGACTAGAAATTCCTTGGGACAGAGTTACCTTGTTTTGGTTTTTGTTTTAGTATCTGGCATAAAGGAGTTTGGACGCTTGGGAGCTTTAAGGTTGCTCGGTTTTGAAGCTGGTTACCAAGTGGCTGCTTTCAGGCAATAGCTTTAGATGAGGAAGAAATTCAACTGGACATACATGAACATGTAGCAAAAAATACAGGCTTTCTGTGGTATTTAGAAACCCGATGCAAAAAAGATACAATAAAGATAGCAACATGATTAATCCCAGGAAGTCAATATTGTTTATAACCTTTAAACATAGGCGCACCCTATATCACAGTAGTTACTATCACAATGACGAGTTTCTCTGAAATAATTCCTGGAAGTACCACCGAAAGTGGAGAAAGGAGAAGTACCATCCCTCACAAAAGAGCAAAATTTTAGAAGCTGTTACTTAGAATACATCATTGTATTTTGTTTGTTCCTACAGACACCGTTTTTACCAAACTTCAGCAAATGCAGCAAACAACGGTGGGGTTGGGTAACCAACTACAACGGTTTTCCTGGTGGTGTCATCAATGATCTGCATTTTGGGTAACACAGAAGTTCTCACTGGAGACCCTGGCAGGCAGCGGGCACGTTTCCATCAGGGCTTTCCTCCCTTGGGTGCACGCTGGCCTGTCGCCCGCCAGGCGCTTTCCCACGGGGAGGTCAGATGCCAGCTTGCACCCGCATCTATTGCAACGTCCAAGTTTGCACTTTTGATTCTCCTGCTGCAGACCTGTCGGATGTCCTCTGGCTCCCGACCCAGGCTTTCCCTCCCAATATTTTCCACTCACGTGTATCTTCCCTCTCTCTGACTTTCCAGCCGCTGGGCCAGTCGCAGCACGACCGCGCAGCGGAGGAAAGACCGCCTGCGGCAGCACTCGGAGCACATCGGGCTGGACAACGATTTGAGGGAGGTAGGTGGTGTCAGCTGCAGGCGGCAGGAGCGTGTGGTCCAGGAGGTGAGGCCTAGACAAATGACGCGTTGTTACTTCGGGCAGTTTTATTGCTACCATAAGGTTTGTGTGGGTCTCTGCAGCCATTTCATTTAGACGCTGCTTGTCACAGATGCTTGCGTATGTTGTACAACTTCAAAACACACAACAGAAATAAAATGTTTTTATTATTTTGGAATAAGATATCCCCTTTGTCATCAGGAAAATGGCTTATTTGCTGATATAGACCCTAGTCACGTAACCGCACAGAGAGAGCAGAGCCCTGGTGCCTGCCTGGGTGCGGCTGCCGAGCTCTGGCCAGGGTGAAGGTCTCTGCAAAAGTCAAGTCCTTGAATAAATGTCAGCGCTATAGAGGCAAATGAGACGGGACTTTTTTCTTTTTTAAAGGAATGTTTTTTCTCTCTTTCTTACATAGATTCCTGACATGAGTAAGCCTATTTGAAAGGTTAAGACTTTGGGGCCTTTTTGTGCTTAAAGCTTGGAAACTCCCATGCATCCTGTAAATGTCAGTCACATACAGGCATTTCTTTCCCATCTTTTCAGTTTCTCGTCCTTCATTAAATATTTTCTGCCATATTTTTCCATTGATGTCCATGTGCTTCTTTTGTATGTCACTAGCAAAAATAAAACATTCGTGCTGTTCTGTGGTAAATCTTGCTGAATAATGTTGGCCGGTACTGGCATTTCCACTCCGAAAGAACCCGAATGGATGAGCGGACTCTTGAACCGCAGCTTCGAATGATGTTTCATGGAAACACAGCAAAACAGCACTTACACATGTTTGTTGCTATTTTTGCTAATGTGGCTTTGCAAGTATATTTTAAATGTTGCCTCGTGTGTATATCTCAGCAGAGCCTTTTCAATACTTGTCATGTATTTACTTTCTTCTTTTTTTTGGCTGTGGATCATATGCATGCTTCTTTTGCTTTGTCTCCTCTTTCTTTCTGGCTATTCTGCCATTGGGGCATCTGCCTCCTCTTAGCCATCGGAGGAGCTTTTGCTTCGTCAGAACTCAATGGCCTTCTGGGAGTGGGATCAGGGACCACCCCCTCCTGCACGGCCTCCTAAAAAATCCTTCTCTGAATGCTGCCTGGTATGTTTTAGTTTTTCTTTTTGAAAGCTGCTTTTGAGATGTTGTTAGCATGAGGAACCACTGTCTTCACTGCGTCTCAAACCTCTCCCTTTCTCATAGAGTATGAGCACGTCCCTGTAGCGCTTGCAAGTGTGGTTATAATCAGAAAAGTAGCTGGAAATAAGCTCTAGGCTTCCACGCCAGCTCCCTGGCAAACACGACAGCTCCAAGGCTGAAAGATGAGAATATTAGTTTGCTTCGTTTTTTCCCATGTTGCTCACCTGGCAATTCAGCTTAGGGTGTCAAATCCAAAAAGCATTGCTTTCTGACTGCTGGATCGTCGCATCCCAGTGTGGAAGAGGATAGTGGTGTGTGGATGCTGGTGAACAGGCAAAGGGCAATCAATTGGGTCTTTCATCCCACCCTTATTCTTCTCTTGACCTTACAAGAGTTAATAATTTTTTTATTTTTTATTTTAGTATAATAACAAGACATACAATGAATAAAGTAAGGTTATCTATGTTTTCTATGCTTCAGACTATAACCACACTATAAACAAAACTGCATTTTATTTATCCCTTTGCATTTAAAAAGAAATATTAGATTTCCTAATTATATATTCCCTATATTACTTTTGCACTGTTTTCGTTGCTAATTTTTGCACTTAGATGGAATTCATCTCTTGTGAGATTGCTTGCTGAACAACATGCTTTCATCATCTGTGATTTTTTTTTTTTTTATTCTCACATGTAGTTTTTCAACTATTTTTAAGTCCTTATAGTATCCGTGAAACTGTAATTACCTAGCTGAGCACTTTTGTTGAACACAGCTTTCGATGGCAGAACCCAACATTCTTGTCTGACCTGTGGGACTGATGTTAAGTGCCTCATGTCCAAATTTTGTATTGAAAAAGTCCAAATGTGTCAGAAAAACTGTACTCCCCCATTACAAAAAAAAAAAAAAGTGAGCAATTTCAATTAACTTCAGTGTGTTTGGATTTTGCTTTTGCTAAATAAATTATCTTCTCCCCAGACAGAAAGCTCTGAGAACGCAGCAGCCGTAGTGTCCTCTCAGTTCCCCAGAAAACCCAGCCAGCAGCAGCACTGAGTCGCTGGAGGGGTGTGATCTGCTCCTCTCGGGGAGCGGTCGTTGTCACATACCGTCCCCCAAAGAGGCAGCATTAACTGGATAAAAACACACTATGGAAATGGAGCATTCCCACACCAGGCTATGAGCGCTATGCTTCAAGACTGTTTTATTTGGCAACATTCTGTTATTTTACTCTTTTTAACAAAAACTTTATAATAATGCTTGGGCAACTTTTTGATAGGCTTCATATTTGCACACCTAAATGTGGCCAACTTCTTAGCTTTGCTCAGCATGTAGCCCTCTCACTGATGTTCGGGGCAGAGGACACTTTGTTGATTAGTTTGGGGTTTTTTGCTTAACGAAAAAAACAAACAGTAAAAAAAACCCTGAACAAAAAGGCAATGGAACAGGACGGTTTAAGAGTCTTTTATTATAGCTTGGATCCTTTTTTTAAAGAACACGCCAATTTTTGTCCATACTTATCAATTATGACCCCACAGTAAAAACATGAATGATCCTAAATGTCAGTTTCATTTAAAATGAGCTTCACTTGTAATTAAGAAGTTAACTGAGAACAAAATCAAGTCTAATTTTTTTCCCCACATAAACTGCCCAGATGAAAAGTAACGGATGAAATCTTTCTCCTTCACTAGGTGTATTTCTTTTTCTTGTGATTTCTTTTCAAAAGATTTTTTCCATTCATGTGCAGTCTGCAACAAATTAGACAAATGGCTTTTAATTTTTTTTAATTTTTTTTAAGTGAAAATCAAATAACAATGGAAGGAAACTTTACTTGATATTTTGATTTTATGGCTGAATGAAGGTATCGCACTTTTATGCACTTGCTGTGGCTAATTTTGTGCTAGTGGTTAACAGCACAGTTCACTAGCTAACATTGACTGTTTCAGTTCCACGGAAGAAAATATCTTTTTTTTTCTGTTGTCACAAGGGAGCATTCCACTTCTCCAGCCCGACACCTAAGCATCAGACAAATCATGATGTTGTTCCTAGATTAACACTAGCTCATTCCTTCTCACCAGCATTTGCTTGCCTAGGATTAGGACGAGGAGAATCCCTCTGACTTGTAATATCTAAAATTAGTCTGTTTATTTTCAGAAATACATGCAGGAGGCGAGGAGTTTAGGAAAAAATTTAAGGCAGCCCAAACTCTCAGACCTCTCTCCAGCTGTGATTGCGCAGACCAACTGGAAATTTGTGGAAGGGTTACTGAAGGAATGTCGCATGAAGGTAGGTCCTCCTCCTTCCCGCCGCCTGCTCTCCCCTTGCTTACACTGAAGTAGGAATAGGACAATAGATAAAGGGTATAGAAATAGGATAGTATGAAGTAATTGTGCAAACTTTTTTTTTAATTATTCTTTTAAATTTACAATCTCTGTAAAGAGATTTGAAGTTTTCTCTGGTCAGGCCATTGGCGATGGTCTCTAGATTAAGCATGTTTAAGTAAACTCGTCTATAAATTCTGTCCCTTGTTGGATAACATTCTTAGAAACCTTTGGGGATTTTTTTTTAACAGACTAAACGCATGTTGGTAGAGAAAATGGGCCATGAAGCAGTCGAGCTGGGACACGGAGAAGCCAACATAACAGGTCTGGAGGAAAATACGTTGATTGCTAGTCTCTGTGATCTGCTAGAAAGAATCTGGAGCCATGGTCTGCAGGTCAAGCAGGTTGGTAACTGAAAACTCAGGACTTTGTGCGTACAGTACTCTAGCAAATACTGAATGCCATCTCTACCTTTTAAGCTGCTACTCAGTGGTGTCATTCCAACTTAAAGTGGGAGGTATCTTTGGGCTCAGTCCCTGGTTCATATCTTGTGAGGGCTTGGGGAGTTTTGGGGGTTTGTTTTTTGGGGGGTTTGGTTTGTTGTTTTTTGGGGTTTTTTTATTTGAGAGGTACCTCTGGAAATTGTAATGATGTTGTCAAATAGGTGTTTCTTCTCTTTCAACCTTCAGAAGGAAAACGCAGGGAGGGGACAAAGAAACAAGGCGGGTGGTGTGACTGCTAGGTCAGTGAGATGGTCCTCTCCTCCTCCTGAGGTCTCATGGCCCAAGAGAAAAGGATTGTTTCTCACTACTGAATGTTTGGCCCACTGAAATGCCATCCCATTATTTTGCCATGTTCACTGGCCTCTTTTTCTTTTGCCTGATTTATTTAAAGCTATGTACTACATATTCAATTTTCAGGGGAAGTCTGCTTTGTGGTCCCATTTACTTCAGTACCAGGAGAGAGAAGAAAAGCAAGAGCATACTGCAGAGTCCCCAGGTGAGTACTTGGCAGTTGACTCCATGAAGGGTCCATCACAGTGAATGAACTTGGGCCTGGGAGGAACAGTGCAGCCACACAAAACCCATGCAGGATTTTCAGTGTATTTGCTTGCTAATGTCACATTTACATTTTGAGACCTTTCATAATCATTATGAAGATGCCTTGATGCCTGGATAAAGTAGATTGACATCATTGGAGGCAAATGAACATATTTATTATCCCTGCCTGGAAAATCACTCGATGTCTGTTCACTACCTTCATTACCTTTTAACCAGTATTGAGTGAGGTGTGAGAAGCACTGCTTCTGCAAGAGGTGATTTCTGAAGGAGCTGAAGGTGTGGAGCTGTGGCTAAGACAGCTGACATTTTTCTTTCAGTGAGCACAATCTGTCACTCAAATCCCAATGTGAATAACTCAATGTTCGATAAATCTTTATACTAGTGGACAGTACAGTTCAGAAGTTGTGTAATTAATCTCTATCCATCAGTCTAGGTGCTCAGTTTATGCTTTGGCTTGGCCCTCTACAATCACTAAATTACTTCTGTGTTGTGAGAGATGTTGGTTTTCTGATGACCTTGAGATCTCCCTGCCCACAGGCTGCTGCTGTGTATTGTAGTAAAAGTCTCTGACCTTTAGTGGGTCATCTTCCAAAGACTCTCCAATCTTCCAGATCCTGCAGATGGGAACTTGTGTGATCAGTCCTCAAAGACACATCGATGGGCAAACTAGTCTCGCTCATGAAAAGACTTTTTAATAAGCTTCAATGAGTAATGCACCAAGCAATCTGGCTGGCAGGCACAAATTCCTCAGAGCAAAATGTGTCACCACAAAGCAGTTTGATCAGAGTAGCAGAGCACAGAAATGCATGGCATTCTTACCATCGAATATGCTACTGTAGCTTAATTTTATCTCGTCCTTCTCAGTTGTGAGCTTTCCATAAAAACTTATTACTAATAAAACTCATCACTGTACAGATTTATGTTAATGTATTTCACATACGAAAAAGGAAGCTGTTAAATCTCCAAGTTCAGTGCTGGATTAAGGAAGGAATAGGTAATGTATTAAGCATTTTTCATTTTTTGTCTGCTTCTACATTTCCAGGATAGAGTTAATGATAATGCACAGAAACATTGCAGTTACCAGCTACTTAAGATTGTTTTCAGCTATATGTAAAACAAATGCATTGCAGACCATTACTGTAATTTTGTATTAACTTCATATATTTTCTCCATTGTAGTTGCTGTTGGAACAGAAAGACGAAAGTCTGATACAGGAATTACTCTGCCTACTTTGAGGGTTTCCCTGATACAAGATATGAGGTACACAGTTTCATAAAGCATTAATTGTGGTTTTAATTGTGTAGCATAAGGTAAAGATCCTCATTGGCTTTGGGTTTACGAAGGCTAAAGAGAATTAAATCTTCTTAGCCCACATTCAAATCTACAAAGTGTTGCCTTTTTATTTTACAAAACTTTTTTGCACGTTTAATTGATTTATTTTAGCTAAAAGACAATGAAAAACACACAAGTTTTACTGAGGTTTTTGTTTTCCCTGGGGGGTTCTTCTAGCAACGAAGCCAACTTCTACAAATAACAGCAGATACGTTGAATTCCTTGGCCCTTTGAGTTTGTTTCTTTTTGTTTGTTTTGAATTACTGGTCAAGCAAGTACAGTTGATCGACAAAGCAAAGGGATATAAAAACCTGCTCGCAATGCCTGAGCAATAGTCTTTCTTTTCAATTAGCATTTTGTGACAAATAGTAATAAATGTACAAATTTAGAAATGTAATCACATCTAGTATTTGGGTGAGTTTAAAGTTGGAATGTGAAGTAAGGGCAGGTGCTCTGTAGAGATCACAGCCTGGCTCTGGAGAGCTTTTTAGGAAGTGTTGGTTGGGAACTGGAAGGATTAGAGAGTAAGAAGAGGTGGAGGCTGATGTGACACCACCAGGCAGTTGTTCTTCAGGGCATCTCCTTGACCAAGCCACTGTTTTGACACTTCACTTGCTACGGCTAAGCATTGCAGTGGGTTAAAAGTGCCATGAAAAGAGGGGAGTAGTGCAATAATGCTCATCTCTAGAGAGCTGGCTAGCAATTGCTAGCAATTTAATGTGTGAGGCAACATAAGTATTGTTTCTTGTAATACCATGTCCTTCTTCCACGTAAAAATACGGCAAAAAATCTTATGGTAAAAATAAGATTAATTGTTGTTAGTTCAGAAAAACATGATTACAGTGATATGATTTTTACCATGTGTGTTATTGCAGATATTTTTTTTTCTGATATGAGATCCCACAGATGAGTCAGACTTTTCTGAAAGAAAATGACTGTACTTTCCACCTGCAGTGTCCAACCTTTTTGTTTGATGCTATGTAGTTTGAGTCTTGTGCTCTGAAGAATATGAGATGCCACATAAGGCTAAAACAACAGGCGAAAGAGAGGGAGACTATATACAGTGTAATTAGGCGTATAAAGCCAAGAGGTCATTTTGAACACGTGTCTGTCATTTTAGCATCCCTCACATGGGACGTGGCAGCTATTTACTTAATTCAGTCCTGTGAGGCGGACAGGCATGTAGGGGGTCGGTCTGAGGAAAGGATGAAGGAGGATCTGGAGCGGAAACTCACGTGCTGGGTGGGGGATTGCTGGCAGAGGAGGCTGCGTGCGCTCGCTGCTGCGTGCATGGGTTTTGTCTTCTGCATACTGCCACTTGAGTAATGAAAGCCCAGCACAGATCTGAGCTCTCTTGCTTGAATCGCAAGACTGTTTCCGCTGGTTTTCAGAGGAAAAAGTACAGAAGCAGAACACTACCTTTTGTCATATCTTGGGTATTCATGATTGTCCACAAACATGTCTGGTTATAGAAAATGCTGGGCAGATGGTGAGTTGAATTTGTCATCCGTAATCTCGTGGCATACTTTCTCCTGCTTGGAAGAAATGCTGCTTAATATTTGTTTGCACACACAAATTTATGGTGAAGTTAGAAGGATGGGTAATTGTTAAATTGCCGGGGCTGCGGTGCTAACTGAACTAATGGCTAGAGGATTAAGCATTGCCTTAAGCACGGCTTGTTTTTGATGGCTCATGCAAGGTTATGTAAACAACTTAAAAAGCAGGGCTGAATCAGAGTCACGCTCTGAATGTGCGATGAGCCTGTGCTACAGGTTGTATGTCCTCTGTCTCCCTCGCAAAGCCACGTATCTTAGATGTGGTAAGGAAGATGCTCAAGATGTTTATTTTGGTTCTCTGCACGGAGAGTCTCTGCACAAGTGTGTTTGGGGGGTATGCCCTTCAGCCTTTCTCCCGGGTGAGGATCTGCAGCATCTCTCCCACCCGTCTTCCAGCTCCCCGGCAGACTCCTGCTGCAGCCTGCCTCCTGCATGGCCTCACCCCTCGGGCACATCGCTGTGCGTCCAGCCGGACCAGTCAGTGCCAAGGCAACTCCCCGAAACCTTTGGTCCAGCTGGGCTCAAATTTCGGGTCCTTCCCCTTCGGGCAAGCCCTTCCTTGCTACCAGCGCTTGCTTTCATGCCTGTGTTGTGCCTCCCCTCCCGCAGGGAGCTTGCAGCGGAGGATGCGAGCCCTGGGTGCTGGGCCCACAGCAGTGATGCTTAAGCTGCTGCAGTCAAAAGAAGCTGGGTTAGCAAAGACGGGACGAGCTAGTACAGCTCCTTTCTGATGGCACTGGGATCGCGAGCATTCACACCATCCTCGGGGGCACGGTGATACTGAGCAGCTGTAACCTCTTCTGTCAGCACAGCTATTTGCAGAGGGTATGTCTCGCCATACCCCAGACTTCCATTTGACAGGGAAAATAGATTTTTCTTTATTACTAATGGGATTAAAAGCAAGTCCCAACCTAGGGAGTTGCATTGAAATTGCTGTTCAGTGCCCTGACAAGAAGAGTTTGCTGTGTGGCAGTGAGCATACAGTGCGTACACTTAGGTCACCGATAAAAATAGAACTGTTCTGACTCTCACAACTGAGAGCAAAATAAATTTGAGTTCCTGAATGCTCTGTTCTGTTACACTGTGCTTTTGCTGACAACAAGACTGATTACTGAATCTTTTTAATGTTTCTGGCAAGCTGCATGGTTGCAGATCCTTATTTTTCCCAAATGCACAATTAATGCCAATCTGGTCTGAACCAGAAACAGGTAATGAAGAGGTACAGAGCATGCACGGAATAAGGTTGAGTCCATCTGTACTTGAATCTTCTTACAGTAAAATAACATATTCTACTGAGTGTTTCATATTAGATGTAATTCAAGCTGATCAGTGGGGGGGAAGGGGAGGGAGGGAGATGATAGTCCGTGCTTTGATCTTCCCATCTCAAAAGACTTGAAATGTCTGAGGAGAGTGTCTCAACACGATGTACTTGAGTGTAGTGCGCATCCTGTTTCCCAAGGACTCTGGATCACATGCCCAGCTGTCTGGGCTGGAAGGTCCAATGCCGGCTGCCACACTCTGAGCCAGGAAGGGCTTTCCAATGCCAGGAGCAAGGCTCTCGGCAGTGATTCAGCTGGTAGGCATCGCCGCTGACAGAGGGAGGCTGCTGAGCTTGCTTATAAAGGGCAAGGATTGTACGTGAGTGTAATGTGCCCACTCAGCTCACTGAGAGCCATCAGAGAACTACCCATGTATCACATTAGGAAACAGGAGGAAAGTTTCTTTTTTAAAAAAAAAAAATTTTTTTTTCTTTTTTTTTTCCTTTCTTTTTTTTTAAAGGGGTTTTAAGTAACCTAGGTTTTGCCACTGGCAAGCTACCATCACTCCTATTGATTGTTTCTTCCTGATGGTGCTTCAGATATGTATGTACAACACAGAGCCGTGTGATACAGACCCCTCAGCTTGGATTGCAAAGGTAGACCTGCATTTTGAGAATTCGGGTAGGTCAGCCTGGCGGAGAACGGTGCTGCTGAGCTATGTCTGGTATCCACTTCACTTGTGCAGAGCGAACACGTATTTCTGGACAGCGCTAAGTTGTACTTTGAAAATTTGCCCTTAAGGCACTAGCCCTGTTACATTAGAAGCTCTATAAACAAGAGAGTATTTTTTTTAAATAATGCAGGGTCTAAATATAACGTAAAGCACGAGCTTGGGTATAACAGATGGGGGAAAGCACGAGACAGTGAGACTATACTGTCGACGTAAAAAGCATCAGTCACAGCATGACTTTGTTGGATTTTCTTTGGAGTAAATATTGCCATATTCCCTAACGCTCAGCAATGCGTGGAGGGCCTTCAAGCAAGATGCAGGAGTTGGGAAGTAAATTGCAACAGACATCAGTTCAGACTCAGCTGATGATACTTGGAGCCTGCCATGGAGGTTTGGAGGGCTGAATTGCCTGTGCACTTAACATGCAAACTGCGTGAA